AAATATCAAAATATTAAACTACATTTATTATTTAATAATTAAACAATTCTCTTAACTAAATTATAAAAAAAAACGTAAAATAATTAAAAACAATTAAAACATCTATTCAAATTTCTGCCATTATTGTGCTCTACATTTAGCAATGCAAATTTTACCGAATATTGTTATTTAATCTTTAAAAAAAAAGTTATTCCTTCAATATTTACTACAATATTGTAAAACATTTAATATTCATGGTTACTAATTTAATGTAAAAACTCAAAAGTCTGTAACTGATCCATTAGTTAGGTAAATATTATATGGATATTAAGATGTAAAACATAATTGAAATGAAACTTGAGTGGCTAAAGCGGAAGATCAAATGATTACTCTTGATGAAATTTGACTAATAGAATAAGCCGAGGGAAGAAAAGATATGTAATTAATTCAACGTTTGGAGAGAAAATTCATGAAGAATGGATTATGTGATTCTTACGTACTTATATTATTATAAGTGAGAAGCTCCAACATTAAAAATTGGATTACCATTTTGCTCTTAGACTAAATAAAAATATTATAAAACATGTAAATAATAAAATATTAAATAATTAAAAGTTGAGTAATCATTTTAAAAACAAGTTATTTATCCGTAATTTAACTACATTAATAGAAATCTTTCATCTCCCCGTTAATTAACTTAATACAGATTATTTGAACTCAATTTATAATCCTACTGATTTATATCTCACATTTACTATTTTTTTCCTTGAGCTTCCAAAAGTTATATGAACTTTTCATGTTCTTGTTAAATATAATTGGAGTAATATATAGTCATGTGCAGTGATTTTCTACAACTCAAGTCACATTAATCTTTCATTTTTAAGCTTTATATAATACTAACCAAAAAGAAAATAATGTCACATAAAACGGAACAGAGAGAATATATAGATCATAAGCAGCTAAATGCCATAAAAGTTTGAATATATAATATATTGTTGATTGGTAACTACTTTATTCCTCTTATGTTCATTTTAGTTCTCAACAATATATATTTAATATATGAAGATTTCCTTCAGTTTGCTAATATCTTTTTTTTTCTATATTTCATATTTTATTCGGCAATTATGTGCCCTCTCACTTCTCACCATCAGGTACATAATGGATATGCTATTTACAACTCTCTCTCTCTTTTTTTAATCAATTTTATTATTTCACATACATAAAATATAGTTTGTACGAAGTGTGATATAGAAATAAGATTTTTGAGATTTGAGAAATTGTCTTAATAATTTTCAGGATATTTAGATCTTATACTTTTTAACATCTTTTAAACTTTTTATAACAAGTCTCTTATTCTTTAATAAAGATTGATTCTTATTATATTTCGTAATGCAATTATACTTAAACAATAAAAGTAATACTCTTATGTCAAATTTTCATATGAAAGGAAATGTTCTTAAATAGAGATTGATTTTTATTATATTTCGTAATACGATTATATTTAACCATACAAATAATATTATTATGTTAAAGAAATTCCAATCTTGATTCAAAGAAATGATACCTGTAGGTGCAATTGTAATTAATATATATTGATTCATTTTATCTTCATCATAATATAATTACTACTTTTTTTTAGGTGTATACTATAAAATTGATAATGATATTCTAGCCATATTAAAGAAGACATATGTTAATTAACTTTCTGTTCAATATTTGCAAAATATTACTTTTATTCGACAACAACTTCTTGTTATGCATACGACGACTATAAGAGGAGAAATTCTCAAATTTTGAAAAATATAAAAAAAAAATTATAATAATAATAATATGAGATAAACGTGCAGAGCACGTTCCCAAAGACTAGTTAACATAAATGTATGGACTGTTAAACGTTATATTAAAAAAAATATTTTAACAATTTTTAATTAACGATAATAGTTTAATTGCCGCTAAATATGTATTTTTAGTGATAATTAACTTTCTTTGTAAGTATTTCTAAAATCTAAAACGAAATTAAATCTAATAACAATTAACTAATGTCATTAATATTTTAACTAAAATTAATTCTACCTATCAAGTTAAGGTTATTTTTAGAATTAAAATATTTTAACTCAAACTCAAGATCTAAAATTAAGAATGCTTATTACTCCAGCAGCAGCAAAGTAATTAAAACCTTAAAAGGAATTAAGAGGAGTTGTATAAATTAAATTAAAATGACAAAGGAAGTAGTCAACTGTTGAGCTACTTGTACAACAGTACAGTATATCTGTTGCCATTTTTATCCTTCTTCTTCGTCAGTTTATAAGGTTAGATCTCTGGTTTTGTTTTTCTGAATTTGAATCTGAATCTGATTTGTTTCCATTTGGGGAAAATAGGGTTTTTACATTTCAATATTGTTCCATTTCCAAGGATTTGTTTGTTGAAAAGGGTAATTACTGGTTCATGCTCCTTAATCACCTGCAAAATTGCTCAATATGCTAACTTGATATGTAGCTTGAAAAATAATTATTGACTAGTTAATGAAAAGACTAGAAACTACATCTTTACTAGTCTCCTCTAATTGACTGATTATTCATCCGTCCAGCCGCCCAAATCAAAAGAAATAATCGAAGATAATTTTTGGCTTTAGATTCGAAATCAAATAGTCTTTTAAGTATTGGTGCTAAAATCGAAGAGTTAAGTATGTATTATATTTTTCCTTTTTTATTTTATTCTTTGGTTATGCTCCAGATATATAGTCAAAACACAAGAAACTTTTATTCAGAAAAAAAAAATTAGTCAGCTGAATAATTGCTTATGGAAAATAGAGGAGAAAGTTAAAGAATTAGCAAATCTTGAATGGTGCACACCAAACAATGAAGATGCAAGTACAAATGAAAACTCATCTGCAATAGCTAAGATAAATCTAAGAATTAATTTGTTTTTGTACCTGAACGTATACAGCGGAGGCCATAAATGTATGTGTAAAGGATCAAACATTAATGAGTAAATGGATGCTAATGAAGTTACTAAAAGTGCACTAACACTTGAAACTTAAAAGGCTATTAGTGCACCATATAAAAGAAAGGGAAGGGATGACTTTGAGTCTGAAACATAAGGAACTATTTTGGATCTTTTCTCCCAAATTGATCTACAAGAAATTTTGTCAAGATATTTTTAAAAATATATTTATGTGTATTGGCTTGCGGATGTAAATATTTGTCAAGATATTTTTAAAAATATGTTTATGTGTATTGGCTTGCGGATGTAAATATTTGTGGCCGAGTGGTCAAATGTGTAACTTTCCCTTTTTTTGCTTCACATGGTAATGCTGCTGCTTGATCTTCTTCGGTGCACTGTGTGTTCTATTAATGAATGTTTTTTAGATCTGTTCTCTTTCAATATGTATGTAAGTTACCTCATTCTACTTGTATTTCCACCAGTATGGATGGTTGCCGTCCTTTACCAGAAGATCTAGTAGTTGATATTCTATTGAGATTGCCAGTGGAATCACTGTTGCGTTTCAAATGTGTGTGCAAGCACTGGTATGCTCTCATCAAAAGTCCGAGTTTCATAGAAAAACATTTTCATCACAAGAACAATTGTGCTCGTCTCCTTGTTTGCAACTTGAAAGTAGCACGTGAAGGACACGCCATCGTAAAGTCTGTTGTATTCTCCTTGCTTCCTGAAGAAATTGTTCCAGGTGTGATCCCTGAACAAAAAACTCTCCTTCAGCTTCCGAGGGTCGCTGATTTCACGTGTGTTGCTGGTCCAGTTGATGGCTTATTCTTAGTGCAGAAGAAGTTTTATGGAGACGATGTCTGCTTGGGTTTGTGGAATCCTGCCACCAGAGAATTCAGGTCTCTGCCTCCTGCGCCTTTTGAGATTGAGTACTTTTTCTCGGACCATGATCATCAGTTCGGATTGGGATTTGACCTGTTGACTCAAGATTACAAGGTTGTATGGATTCGAGTATTCTGGGATGAACCGGGACAAGGCGTTTATCCTCGTGTCTATGCCTGTGTCTATTCCTCATGCAACAACTCATGGAAACACCTAACTCCTGAATTCCCTTCCAGTCCTACCTTATCTGCACCCCTTGACGCCACTTATCTCAATGGGGTTTATTATTGGCTTTCTAGGGGCCTTGATGAGATCTATACGATTCGCTCTTTTGACATGGGCAGCGAACAGTTTGGGGAGATGCAAGTCCCAGATATTCCAAGGGAACATTGGGGGACACTTACATTGCGTGGCAACTCACTTGCTTTATTAACCGGTGACCCTGGCCAACCTATGACATCCATATATGATGTGTGGGTGTTGGAACAACAGGGAACTTGGTCCAAAGTTCTAACTGTACAACCTCACATAGATGTTCATTGGCCTCGCAACATCTGGGGTAACGATAAGATGGTTTTCGAGATCGCAGAAACTTCACAGCTGGTGCTATATGACCCTACAACAAGACAAGTTACAGATCTTGGATTTCAGCTGGACCTTAACATTGCTGGCTGTTGGGTTTTCAATTACAAGGAGAGCCTAGTTCCAATAAAGAGAGGAAACAAGACTCAGGGCGAGGATCATGCAGTTGAGCAAATTGAACACTTCTTCTATACCATACCAATGGATGGAGATCCTGTAATATTGTGACATTAGTTCTTATCTTGCCCTTCCTATAACATTTATGCTTGAGCTTAAAATTGTTTGGATCAGTCATCTTTGTACTATTATTATTGAATAAAACGCAGACATGGTATTTTTTGTTTATGTTATCAAAGGGCATTCCTTTTGGAGTAAGACATTTTAAGTTAAGTTGCGAGTGCACCCTGCACGCACTCATGTCAGATTCTCCACAAATACACTATTTTTGAATATCGACAAGTAAGTGCTCTGCATCTATACCTATATTTTGGTCCAGTTGAAAAAGCTGAGTGACTAGACAATTGGATAAGGTAGGTCCAAGACACCACCCAAAAAAATGGGCCCCCAGAAAAAAAATAAAGCCCATTAAAGAAGAGAAGAAAAGCCCAGAGCCCATGAAGCAAAAAAAGTACAAGTTTGAAAAGAGTAGTTGATAAAATGATGAAAGGCACAAAGTGACAGTTAAAATAGTGTTTTTTCTCCCGCGAAAAGCTTTAATTAATTCGTTGATCAGAACTGGAAAGGCAGCTTTGTCTCGTGGGGGCACTCTCTTATTCTGTGACATTCTTTTCATCATACCCCACCCACCCCCCTCCTCTTTCTCTCCTTTTGTCCTTGAAACTTTTCTTGATCATACAATTTTGCCAGTTTTTTTTTTTTTGGTTTGGCTTGTTTGTTTTTTCTTACTGTCAAGTGGTTTTTCGCTCCTGTATTAAGATTTTAGAAGCGCGAAAAAAAAAGGAGGGTAATTAGAGCATTGGAGGAGGTAAAAGAGTAGATTTTGGAAAAGGAGAAGAAAATGGTGAAAGAGACAGAGTATTATGATGTTCTTGGTGTAAGTCCTTTAGCATCTGAAGACGAAATTCGCAAGGCCTATTATCTCAAGGTTTTTTCTACTTTTTTATTAATTTTTGTTCTCTATGTTTGAATTTTGTGTAGATTTTTCTGAGTGTTGGGGTTGATCTAATTTACTTGGCATAGTTAGAATTTCGAGATTCAAACTTTTGAAAATTATGTTATAAGCACTGAATAAATCACAATAATTAACCCATTTAAAAGACATATAAGGAAATTCTGGTCAAAGAAAATCTTGGCTGATGATCGAAATTCCAACTGTGCCACATAAATTTGAGACGAAGAGTCATTTGTTTAAACTTTTAGAATTTGATAAGCGGATCCAAGTAGTATGATTCTTGGGATATTTGTGTTGGAAATGAAGATTTGATTCATCAACTTTCATTTTGACTAGAAGTACAAAATGGTAGTGGAAAATGTCTCTATCCTTTTTGAAAGGAATTGTTTTGTGTTCAATATTGATCAAGTTTAGATGAAGTATTTAGTATATGTGAGAGTTTTAAGTATTAGCTGAATCTAGAAATGCATTAAACTAGCATAAAATGTAGCTCCCCGGATTTGGTAATGTGGGAATTGGTCTCTCTTCAGACATACCTAGTGTAATCCCACAGGTAATTACATGGACCTTACCCAGTGGAGGTAGAAAAGTTGTTCCTGAAAACTAGAAATGAAAACAGAAAAATGATAAAGAACAATTTCTTGTGCTTGTTAAATGATATTTGAGATCTGTTTTTTTTCATCTTATGGTGCAGGCCAGGCAAGTTCACCCTGATAAAAATCCAGATGATCCCCTTGCTGCACAAAGATTTCAGGCAATCACATTGCTTGTTTCTTATTTTATGTTTCTTTTTCTGTAAAATCTAGTCAAAAAGTACATATTTAGAAAGTTTTTGATGTTTTAAATGGTAACAAACAGGAATTAGGAGAAGCATATCAGGTTTTGAGTGATCCAGTACAGAGAAATGTATATGATCAAAATGGAAAGTCATGTGTCTCCAGGTAATCTTTCTACAATTGCTTCTTCTGAATTTTATGGGGCCATTTGGTTGTTGGTTAGAGTTCAGCACGTATTAGTAATCCAAAGATTAGTTATTCCATCTTCTACCCTGCATAAAATAGTACGTAAATTGACTCAAAACGATAATCAAACATCACACTTGGTTTGCAGAGTTCCGAATACATGGTATTAGTTTTGTTAGTTTTAATACATGAATAACTAACTCCCTTCCTAGCCAGCAACCAAACGACCCCTTAAGATGATAAATGCAAGTAGCTAGTTTGCTAATTCACAAATTTCTATGTAAAAAGATGTTTTTTCCTGCTACCATCAATACTAATTTTGATGTTCTCTTTGTAGGGAAACTATGCTTGATCCAACTGCTGTGTTTGCACTCCTCTTTGGGAGCGAACTTTTTGAAGACTACATCGGACATCTATCTGTTGCATCAATGGCTTCCTCTGAATTAGTCACCGAAAACGACAACCCTGAAAGGCTCCATGATAGACTCAAGGCAAGTATGTCATGAAGTTCAATAACATCTAAATTATATATATAGAAAATATCTGTCCATGAAATTAAGATATGTTTGATATCTCGTTCTTAGACTAAATGTTACAAGAGACAAGGAACAAATTTTCGCTTTTTCCTTTAGTTCAGATTTTACGTTTTTACAGTTGATTCACTATAATAGAACTATGTTATGAAGGGTGTCCAAAAGGAAAGGGAAGAAAAACTTGCTAGAATCCTCAAAGATTTTCTTCAACAATACGTTCGTGGTGACAGAGTGGGATTTATACATCGTGTAGAATCTGAAGCAGAACGACTTTCACAAGCAGGTCAGCTCACTCACTACTCTTGTGTTTCTTCAAGTAATCGATTGCTGTAAGTTTTACAGAATTTACCATCACAAGTGTTGAAAAGACCGCATTGAATAAGGACAACATAAAAATGTCTTAATTAGACCATGACATTTGCGTTAACAGCATTTGGAGCTGAGATTCTTCAAACTATTGGATACATATACACAAGACAAGCAGCACAAGAACTTGGAAAGAAAGCAATTTACTTGGGAGTTCCATTCATGGCCGAGTGGGTTCGGAACAAAGGTCATTTCTGGAAGTCACAGCTAACAGCAGCAAAAGGTACACTTACAGAAGATCAAGTACTCCCCTTCTTGTTATATATCTGTATCTTTGATGTGGTGGACTGTAATGTTATATAGGTGCTTTTCAACTGCTACAACTTCAAGAAGATGTTCGTCGCCAGTTTAAAATGGATGGGAGTGGCCCTGAAAACGACGTTGAATCACATCTAAGATTAAACAGAGAAACATTAATGAATTCATTGTGGAAACTAAATGTCGTAGACATTGAAGTGACTCTTTTACATGTTTGCCAATTGGTAAGCCTGTTGCTACAAGCTTATTCTTGAAAGAGACCTTTGAGTTACTTGTGAGTATTCTTTCAGGTGCTACAAGAAGGCAATGTGAAGAAGGAAGAACTCAAGAAACGTGCGATGGCTTTAAAGATTTTGGGAAAAGTATTTGAGGCAAGTACTAAGCATAACTTGTGTCATAATATCCCTTCTAAACACAAGTCTTGTTGGTTATTGAGCTACTAATACTAATTCATTTGCATTTATTCAATAGAGGGAGAAGTGTGTTGGAACATCGAAAAAGAAGACGATAGGCGATATCAATGCTGAGGAATCTAGTTCAGATAGCAGTGATGATGAAGAAGACTCACTAAGAACACTAAATTATAGAACTCCTCTACTCACACAGGTTCTCTTGACTCTTTTACTTACTATATATATCTATTGAAATCAATGATATTTATAGACATAAAGTGAAAATAATCGTGTTTATTCCCTTGATTAGAGGTTGACTCAGTAATCATCTTTAACGTTACAAATTCAAATTTCAAACACTCAACTAAAAGTTGACGATGAGATTCTAATACATAAATACTAAATTTTTTTTTTGGTGTGTGGTATTGTAGGGAATTGGTAGACTCTTTAGATGTTTGTGTAATCCAGCATTCGATGTCGATGATGAAGAGATTGTATACAAAGGCAAATAATATTCAAATCGATGAACTAATTTTTTGGCTTCGTGCTTCGAATTAATCGATCATGTTTATGTAATACGGATAATTGAAGGAAAAAAAACTCATAAAGGCGTAAGCTAATTAATATTTTGTGCAGCTTGTTTTTGTAATTGAAAAAACATGTAATGAAATATTATGTTTGTTTTAAATGATTAAACAAATTTATTTTTAATATCCTGTCCTTTTCACTAAGAATCTTTATTTTACATATAATAAATCTGAAAATAAAACGTAAAAAGTTTGAACTTCTTTTTAATTCCCTTCGAAAGTTTTTTTTTCAGTCAAGTAGATTATTTCTATCATTATTTCTACAATTATAGAAGTTCATGGGAATATCTCCTTTCTAATTGTGTTTATTAGATTATGCAAATAACATTAATCCCATAATTTTAGTAAAACTGCTATATAAGAAGGAAAATATTACTAAATTAGAGACGAAGTTCTACTAAGCAATGGCTATTATTTACTAATTTTAGATTACTTTCATTTGCTATAAGGTAATACCAATTTAAGAACTTTATGTTCAACACGTCCATTTATCACCTATCTTATTACTGTAATTTCTCCTTTTTCCCACTCACGTCAGTAACGACGTAGAAAATATTTACTCAACTATCATTATTAAGCTAATTTGTAACCTAATAAAAATGATAAATTGAAACTGAAACTGTTAAATGAACTGAATGAATCAAAAATTAGACCGACCAAAACAGACTGAATTTTGAAACCTAATATATTAAACTAAAGGTGTCAAATGAACGGAATAAAAATTAAATTTAAATTGATCACAATAGACTTAATTTTGAAACCTAATAAGTTGCACTAAAGGTGTAAAACGAACAGACTACAGAATCTAAATTGAAATCAAAGAATAGACGGAAATAAATAAATGAAAAGAGTTGCTCATACTTAAAAATGAAAAATATTAAAATTATAACTCGACCCCTTTTGTTAATTCGTTCAGTTGTTAAAATTTCAATTTGTATTAATACCAAATAAAAGAAGTCTTGGAATCCTTACCAACCTTTTAAACTGACAAAATAAAACATATCGACATGAACTAAACTAGTAAAATAAACAATGAAAACTTAATTTGTAGGTCGATTTTGCTTCCCCTAAGCAAACAAATTTTAAAAACATAAAGATTTAACCTAGAGGAGTGAAATTTGAAACAGGAAATTAATGTCTTTCACCAAATAGTGAGAACACATGAAAGGAGTCTTAAAAGAGTTTTGACATCTCAGTCCAACAGAATAAACAAACAGAACCTGTTTGCCTTAAACAACCTACATTGTCCAGCATTAGTTTTCACAGAAACAAATATGTACAAGGGCGTTTCAACCTTAACGCCCTATTTTTCATCTCTCCCTCTATGACGCGGACTCGAAACTTGGACACAGCACATCTCAGTGAGCTGGATGGAGAACTCGTGCACGGTGAGCTTGGACAGAGCACGCACAATGCACAGAGGTTAAGTTCAGGCATCCGCTGATGATGAGAGAGTGTCGCTCGGGGCATGTGTGCAGAGCAGGAAATGCTTCACATACTGCTTGAACGGCGGGAGGTGTGAGAGCAGTGCATTGGCTGATGTTTAGATTCATAAGCCCTTCATCCTCGTTCCTGTGCTTCTTCATAGACGCCCACATCTCGTGCTTGTTCTTGACCCGACTCTGAGCTAGAGAGTACATTGCCCTATCTGTGATGTACTGGCAGAAGTATAGGCCGAGGGACCTCAAGTGAGGGCAATTGTTTGCCAAAGCAATCACGGTCTCATCTGCAGGCATTAGATAATAGCTATGTCAAACTTCAGTAGAAAAAGGAAACACTAATAGCCCATCAAGAAGTAGGCAGTAGAACATACTTGTGATTACACTCAACAAGCCAACAAGAGGAAACACAGACCTCTAAACTACATAGAACACTGCTATTTTGTAACCATTGCTCTAACAGGTTGAGAGCAATGATCATAAAATTTCATAACAAAACCATCCACACAAAGAAATACAGGAGACATCTAAATTTGGACACTCCCCCCAAAGAAAAAAAGCTCAGTTCTACCGCCTAATATGTATTTCATCATTCATTTCAGACACCACAAATAGCCATATGAGTTTATTCGATATAAAATCTAAAGTAAGGTCCTTCATATTCCTCGTATACATCAAAATCATGTTTACTTTTCATTTCCAAGATGAAAATATCTCGCATGAAGATCTCCTTCTAGTTAGGACATAAATAAATTGTTGTCTTTGATAAGATTTCTTTTGCATCTAGAATACTTGAATACAACTTACGCCCTAATAAGCATGGCAAATCCAAGTCAGTTTAGACTCTTCAGTAGTAAACATACCACTGCTAAGGGAAGACATTAAATACAAAACTTAACCAGATACATGTTTTACCTGTTATAAGGACACAGCCACACAGATCAAGGGCTCTGAGATCAGGACAGCCATAAGCCAAACTCATTACACCTTCATCACCAACTTTATCGCACCAACCAAGATTTACAGTCTGCAGTCGGTTACAGTAGTAACCAATAGCCTGCAAGGAGTAATACGAGTCATATAAATTCAAAGAAACAACGGTTTAGTACTACAGGTCATTTGAGAGGAAAAGACATATACCTTCAATGCCTGATCAGTTGCAGCTTTAACACAACCACAAAGGTTTAAGACTCTTAGGTTTCGGCAACGCTCAGCTAGGTATGCAACAGCGTTATCACTGAAAGCAGAACACCCACTGATATTCAGCTTTGTGAGGTTTGGACAGCCGTGAGCTAAAGCATAAAGGGAACGATCAGTCAGCTTGAAACTCTTGCTAAGATCAAGGTCTTGCAATTCATGACAGTGATTGGCAATTGTCTCGATACCAACATCCTCAAGTTGTGGTAAATCTTGTCTTAGAGTTAGAACCTGCAGCTTTGTGAACTTGGGGGCAAGTGTCAGCACTAAATTGTTCATATTCCTCTTGCACCTGAGGGGACAAAAAAACTTAGAAACCGACATAACACCACAAATCAACAAGGGAAAGATAAACTCACAGAGATCCATGTACCCAATTCCATAGAATATCAACTCTCAGATTACTAAATACCAGCAAGATAGAGAAATACAAACAAATTTCAATAAACAGGAGGGGGTAAAAAACCAGCACTACAAAACCAGAAAATGCAAGCTATAAACATCATGTGAGCCCTCAAAAGATAAAAGGAAAAGTATAAAATAAAGGCAAATGCACAATCATATGCAAGTTATATCTTCTCAGGTTCAATGCTTCTGAGCACTAAAACATAGATATCAACTTCCAGATGCTCAGGATGAAGCACATAGAAAAAAGGGTAAAATTTAGCCACAAAGCAGAACAATAACCATGATGATATGACCATATTTTATTTTTAGGGCATCTCAGATACAAACACATGTGATAAGACCTATGGGATTAAGGCTGTTGAATCACAACCCTAATCTCTCTAATCTCCTCATTTCCCCCCAAATCCCTTGATGCCAGTGCAAGGAAAGCTTTTCAACTTAACTTTGCTCATCCAAGTCTTGGCACTCACAAATCCAAATTGGAAAAAATCTTGAGTCAACCCCTTTTAACATAAAAAATCTAACCTTTTTCAAAAGAATAAAACCAGGGTAGGGTAAAGGAGAAGGGGTTACAGGGTGGGGACTCATACCCTCACCAATGAGATAAAAAAGTTCAGATAACATCTAACCTTATTTCCAAACTCAAAGAGTTATTCAACAACATTTACAAACCCCTTCCTCCAAAAAAGTAAACAAACAATAAAAACCTTATGTATTCCTACAGTTGATCAATTGTACATAACATCTCAAACAGATTGATCAAGGTAAACAGGACCAAGATAGTTCAACACATAAAACTTTGTGAATTTTCCCATTTCCTTCAACTTTTCTAGAACACAAAAATTCAGTCTCCCCTGACACGACTCCCCTGACCATTTGCAACCAAACAAATGAAGAACAAGAACTACCCTTTTACCAATCACATCAAGTAAAACCACCCCATCAAAACAAACCTTAAAATTTTATCAAAATCAAGAAACAAGAAAAGTCAAGTCATACCAAGAAAGGGAAAGACGAGTGAGTCCCCAAGAAATTGCATCTCTCCATCCACTACAAACACAAGAAGCCAGAATCACCGAGCGATCATCCACAAGTGAAGCAATCCTCAACAACAACTCCATAGGTATATCCTTCCACTCTCTGATCATCGCCCCACCCCCCATTTTACAAACCCCACCTCTGCTACCATTGTTCACAAACAGCTTATCCAAGCTCAAATCTTCTACCCCTATCATTTGTTTCTACTCAAAGTTGTAATCTTTTTACACCCCACAAACTCCTACCTCTATATATACACAAAAAAACACAAGGAAAAGCCCAAAAAAGGGTATCTTCTTGTTGCTGTTTCAAACAAAAATACAGAGAGGTGAGTAGGAAAAAGAAAAGGAGATAGACTCAAATGTATAGTAGTGTATGTATTGATCAGTATTTCTAGGGGAAAAGGGGTTTTGTTTCATTGGGGAAGGAAGGTAACAACATGTGTCATCACATAAGTTGTACACACAAGTAAAGTCTGTCCAAGAAAATTCTAGAAATAATCAACTCCGCGCTATTTCATGTGACACTATATTTGTGTTATTTCACGTGACATTGTTTGACTTGATAAATATTTATGAAAATAAATTAAAATTTGTGAGGTGTAATTACAAATTTATTTTAATAAAATTTTAAATTTTTTTCTAATTATAATAAGATGATGATGATGAGAGTATTTTTTTATTTCATATTAAGTAAAAATTTTAAGAATTTTTTCTAAAAGAGCTCATGATAAATATGTAAATGTTTTTATATATTTATTCTTTTCTTTGATGAAATATCATATTTTTTAAGAATAAATTATATTATTTACAAAACTATATTGATTATTTCACAAATAGACAAAAAAAATATTATTATATTATGTATATATTTTAATTAATAAATATAGAGTTCCTTAAAAAATTTCCAAGAGGGTATAATTACTAGGAGTCTTTCAGATAATAATCGTATGTTTCATTTTCTTTTTTAAGCCCTTTTAAAAAAAATATTTACTCTTTTTTTAAGATCTTTTTTATCTTAATTTTTTACCTCACAAAATTAG